TCACTTAAAACATAAATGAACATTGTAAACAGTATTATACGAATCATGACAATATATCGACACTTGTTTCCAGCAGCATTGGTTCTACTGTATATATCATTGCTTAAGGTGTACACAACTTTTATGTAGATTACACAAGTCGCTGATAAGGCTAGTGTTTGGTCCTTTTCAGCCAATATAGAACGTAACCATTATGGTTATTTTTTATACGTAAATTCGATGACGACATTCCACTACAAAGATATGTGTATCAAAGTTTTGAAGCACTAAGCATCTTTCGACATTGGTATGATGGTTGCCAATTTGACAAAGATTGGCATCTATAATCGATCTCTTTTTATTAGATAATGTAAAGTTTGCTTGTACGGATGTGTCACCACCACTACCAGAAATTGGGGCTTATCTGACAAAATTTTGCTCGACGAACAAAATTTTATCTAGTTAGGGCACTTGACTAATTTTTTCATTGGTAGGGCAAAACTGGTTAACATTTAGGTTTACTCAAAACTTTACACAATGGAAGAGGGTTGTAGGGCAAGGTAACATTCGTCGGGCAATGTTTTGGCGCCAAGAGAAAAAAAATGGCGCGGAATATCTTTAGGTTTGCTCGATAAAACTGAGATTCGTCGCCAGATTAATGTTGCTCGAATGCCCAATTCGTCAGCCCAATGGGCAAAGGCCCACAATGACGTGTAAAAAATTCACAGACAAAACCTTTGCTCAATGTTGTCTATGTAAAAATCCTCTTTCGCCGCTCTTCTTCATCATGCTGCCATCGCCGCTACTGTTTTCTGCTCCCTCCCTCCCTCCCTCCACACTCACACCCACTCCTCCATCTCTCCCTCTCCCAGTTAATTTAAGGTTAGTTCTTTTTAATGGTTGAATAACTTTTTACTTAAATGTGTGATTAATTAATTTTGATTGTTGTAGGTTTGTGATAGGATTGGAAGTAAATTAAAGGAAAGGAACGTATTGTCTGTTAATTATAAATTAGTAAGTTTGAATTTGTTTAATTGTGATATCTATGTATGTTAAAATTGTGTGTTATGTGACATTATGAGTTCATGTGTTATTGAAATATATGTAGCTTAGGCAAATTTAATTTGGACAACATTAGTCTAGGAAATTGTGGTAGAAATTTATTAAAATTTCATTATACGAAGTTAAATATATTGATTAACTTCGTATAATAAATTCGCAAAATCCTTATACTTGTTTGAGATTCTGTTGGATGTGTGTGTAGACGCAGTATGCGACTCCACGATCTAATGGATTCTTGAATTGTCCAGTTTGAACAATTTGGGAGTGCATTAGTATGTGTGGTGAACATTGCTAAGTTTCATTCGTGAAAAATTTGGTTGTATTCCTGTAATGTTCTTCAAGTGCATACTAGATATTTGTTTATAATATCTATGTTGTGCACTTAGGGAACCCTAGAGAGATGTTGTCGAATTTTTTGTGATCCGAAATAGTCGAGTGACCGCAACACAGAAAGTATACTTTTGAATGGGATTTGATCATTACTAGAGGTATTCCAACTAGCATGTCATCCTAGGGGTAAATGAGAATACTTATTTTCTGGAAAACTTTTTAAGTATGATTCAATTGTTATACACAAACCACAATGAAGTCATATTGTTCAAATGTCATTGGGGTGATATGAACAATGACAAAACAGATAGTCTCATTCAAGATATGTACTTGTTGTTGGTCAAAACAAATACTCGGTGGTTTGAGGATGATCCCTACATCCTTGCCAAAATAGTAAAACAAGTATTTTACCAGGATGATCCAAAGGCGAGGGGTGGTTTGAAAATAGTACAATAAGGGTGCGTTTGTTGCACCGGACTGTCTCGGACTAGACTAGCTTCAGGGACTAAACTGGACTGGCTTAGACTAGACTAAGCTGGAGTGACTTAGTGAAGCGTTTGATACAGTATCAGACTAAGAAGCAGGACTATAATATTATATTTTTTAATCTATATTTATTAATATATTATTTAATATATCAATTAATATTTTATTATTACTTTCTTTTTCCCTATTTTTCTAGAATCCTCCCCCATCTCTTCATTCATTTTTTTCTCTGCCTCTCCCTCCCCTTTCCCCTTTTCTCCCATTTTTGTCACTTAATTTTTTATTGCAAATCCTCTGCCTTTTCACTTCATCTTCTTCGCCTCCTGCCTCTGCACTTCATCTCTTCCTGACAAGCAACATCACCCACTTCACATCACACGGCAAGCTGAAATTATGTAGAGGCTTTGTCCCCTTGATACCCATTGCCATGGACTTTGCTACCTCTGTTTCTCACGCCTCGGAATTTTCTGGGAAGTGGGAAGAATTTTTATTGGGATTGTTGTTTTCGTTTTGTTTTTTGTTTTGGATATGAGCATGGGTGGGTTGGGTTTCAAATCTGGGTTTAAGATCTGGGCATGGAGGCAAATGGAGTTGCAGAGAGGCATGCTTGTAGATGACACTGTTGCACACAACGCAAGTTCGGAGACGGGGTTAGCAATCCCAAACATTTTGAGGGGCCTTGCTAATACCACACAGTGAAGAACTTAGTCGACATGAGTCCAACTTAGTCTCATTAAACTTTGTCCTGCTTGCACCAAACACTAGACTAGTAAGCCAGTCTAGTCCAATGAAACTTAAGAAGGTCAAACAAACAGGCCCTAATATTAAAGAGAAATATTAGGGACTTGACGAACCCAGAGCAGGACGATGGTGACCAAAATGTTCACCAAGACAATTCATTCGCAACTACTTGAAACCTTCCTAGAGTACAGAGTAACCACATCATTCAACCACCATTTAAGATGTCGGGTGTCCCCACACTTGAAATAGATGCATTAGCTATTGACCTCGAGTGCCTACCACCAATTCAACGAAATTCCTTGTTTGAAGATAGCAGCGATGATTCAAGTAATGAAAGCGATATTAAAGAGGATTATAAGGAAGTATATGAGTATACTGATAGTGATCGAGCATTCACTGATCAAATATTATTAAGTACTACCATAAAATATTCTATTAACTTTCTTTAAGTTCAAAGCTCATTTATCTTATTGTGCTTAAAATAAAATTGACACTTTGCTGGACAGAATCCAAAAGATTCGTCGGGTAAAGAAGTCTTGCCCGACGAAATCCTAAACTATTAAGTCAGTTAAAGTCTATAGGGGGTTTATATTCGTCGAGCAAACTATGCATAATTCGACGGCAAATGTTTGGCAAATTTCATTCAAATCCTTCGAGGATTTTTGCAGTCTTGAAAATTAATTTCCACCATCCAGTTGTCAATATAGTTGGTATATCCAACGAGATTGTAGACGCCAAAAATCACCAAAAACAAACATCTGGAGATTAGGTAGTGGGACAAAATCTTCAACGGTTAGAAATGAAAAATCAATATTTAACGGTTATTTGAGATCCAATTTTAATTTTAATTACTTTGACAACTACACTTCTTGACCCTAGAAGAATACAATAAACAAATATGATCATGAATTAAAAACATTTACAATAGTGATTACCACAAAATGATACATCACACCTAATAGAACTACAGAAAAAAAGTGTTGGTTTTGAATCAAATGCATCGTAGGGATATGCAATATACGAAATTAATTTCCACGATCCAAACAGTTCAACTTGTTTGAATATAGTACAAGATCGCATAGTGAAAAAAATCACCAAAAATAAACTTTCAGGGAGTAGGGATCCGGGCAAAAGGTTGGACAATTACAAACTGAGCATCATGACTTAATGGCTATATCACCTTTGTTTTGGGTTATTTTTTCAAAGATGCTAACTGAGGGTTAAAACCTATATTGAACAAAGGTTCTAAAAAACGTTAGGCGCTAGTTGGGCGGCAGGTTGGCGCCTAGCGCCTAGGCAGCTAGGCTGGGTCTAGGTGGGCGCCTAGGCGGATTTAGGTAAATTTCTTGTATATCTTGTAAATAAGTGCATATTGACACTTACAAAAAATTAAACTTGTACGAAATCCATGGATAAGATAACAAAAGAATAATAAAATGCAAAAAGAGTATCCAACAAGTCCAAAATTTAAAAACACATTAAGCATATATGTCATAGAACCATAGTGAGAGGTATTGTAGGATGACACATGTACAATAAGTTCTCAATTTTAAACCACACAAAATGCAAAATTGGAGGAAAATAAGGAAATATAGTAATGTAGATAGGATTTTTTTTTTTGTTTCAAAAAAAAAAAAAAAACCTCCTACCTGCCTAGAGCTGCCTAGGGCGGCCTCGCCCGCCTAGACCCCAACCGATTTGCAAGAAAACGCCTCGTGTCACCACCGCCTAGCGCCTAAGCTGTTTTTTAGAACATTATATTGAACATACTTGATCATCAAATTTGATGATCGTTTAACCGTTGCAACCGAAAAAAAAAAAAATCAAAGTGTGGAGATCTTTTAATTTTTAAGCTTTGTCCGACGAAAATCATATATTTCATAGGGCAAAGTGGACAAATTTCATTGGGCAAGCCTGAAAGCCCCAAATTTTTTTTTCAAAGAAATAGAATTTCCCTCCAAATTTAGGGGTTGCCCAACAAATTGCTTAGGTCTTGTTAGGCAAACGTTATTTCCCACCAAATTTTTTCGCCCAAATTTCACTTGGCCACTTTTTTTTTTGAAACCTTTATCCTACGGAATGGTACTTTGGGCAAACTTTAAGTTAGATTCATGTTAAAAAATTAAGATCCTTGCCTGATGAAATGGTTCGTCAGGCAAACACTAATAGAAAAAATAATTTGCGCGACCAAACTTTACACTGCACACCAAATTTCGTCGTGCAAAAACATCTTGACAAAAAAAATTATTAAAGTATTATGCGACGAAGTGCTTCATTGCACAATGAAATTAAATGTATGTCGCTCAAAGGTTGAGAAAAAACCTTGGTGATGATTGGTGCCAAAATATCGCACGATGAACAATTGTCTCGCTAAAATCTTGTGCTAGGAAGAATTTGTAGCGCAAAGTGCTATAAAATGGTTTGTTGAGACATTTAAGGTGACGTAATTACTGCAAGCTTTGCATGATGAAGCCTTCATCGCTCAAAGGTCCCACGAGTTCTATAAAATCACATATTCACTTTCCCTTTTACTCTCATACTTTCCCCAAAACCCTCAAGTTCCCCTTGTTTTCTTCCTCGCCAAACCCCTCATATCACAATTCTTGTTTTATTTTTTTGTACGATGGCTGATTCTGCTGCAGCTCCAACTAAAGGATGTGAGGGAGAAGGATCTCGGAAAGGTAATACTAATTTTTTGTGGATTTAATAGTTTTATTTTTATTTTTGAGAAAATTTACTGGATGATTATAAAATTGGATGAATTACTTAGTTTGATTATGAAATTTTTATATTTTCCATAGACATAAAAAACAAGAGAATGTTTAGGCGGGCCAAAAGGGGGATCAATAATGATGGGCTAAGGCGAATCAACTACGATGATTTCAATGGATTTGAGAGGGAGTCGCACATCATGCTTGCGCATGACATTGGAATAGTATTGCAAAGAACAAATGTCCTACAGAGTGGGCATCTTTGAAAAACGTGCTAGAAGACCTGAAAAAGTCTATGTTGGATGACTTATCAGTAAATTCTTATATATTAAATTAATAATTATTTTTATTATGTAATATATGATAATGTTTAATATTTAATATATTTTTTTTGCATAACTTATTTAAATTTTTTCTTTCAATTTTTTCGTACTACTGCCGTCTTACTTGAGCAAATGTAGACCTTATGCTGGTTGCTCGAGTTGGCTCTTGGGTGCCCGAGTCATCGACGTATTCTGTGACGCTTCCACTTAGCATTCGTTAGACTCACCGATGTTCTCGTATGCCCAACACCCCTTAGCTTCGGCATCTACTATCGAATGAGAGGGATCCCAGGCAGGTAAAATATAGTAAATATTGTATTTCGTTAGGCTTTCATTGTTTAAATATTTTATGTTGAATATCATCATCGATTGCCTGCTCTGAATGTTGGTTTTGTGCCAAATTGTGTCATTGACCTGTTGAAATTGTTGGTTGGATATGGAATATTGTTTGCAGGTTTTGGGAAATGTTATACTTATAAAGGAGATTCTGTCAAAATTTTGGTAGAATTTGAAGTTTGTGTTTGACCCTGTTAAATTTTTTTTGCAGCCAAGAAAAACACTTATGGTCCATGCCGACATCTGAAGACGGCGAAGGTTATACACGCGACCAATGCTCGTATCATTGTTGGATTTGACAAGCAACATTAGGCAACCCCAATGACAAAGCAACGTAGCAGCTTGGCCCACGACATAGGGCAAGTAGTCCGGACCAATTGCCTTATGCGATGGGATTCTTAGTAAGCAATGTCAGAGGAAATGAAGAAAATGATACACCATCATTTGTCGGTAAGTATCCAAATTCTCAACTTTTATTCACCTTTCAATAAAGTATAAAAATATTAATAAAGTATCATATTTTAATATTATCAAATATTTTTTCAACATTTTTGTATTTGTAGACAAACTATAATATTGACGACATGGATGAGAAGATGGCCACGTACATATACGAGCAGTTCACAACCCAATACAAGCAGTGGAAGAGCGACCTCCACAAGTTTTTTGAGCCCTATGATGGTCAAGAGGCCGCTCTCCTTGGGGAGGCCTTTCCGAGTTAGAAAAGTGCCTAAAGGACTGAGAGTGGCTTTGCAAGCATTTTCAGAACAAGAAATATTTGGTACGTATACTAATAATATTTTATTAATTTCTTAGTAATATTATTAATATTTTTTTTTTTTACATACTCGGACCCGAAATGTCCACCTGGACTCCAAATTGAGCTGTGTTGGCTGTCACCCAGAAGGTGACGAAGCCATGAAGTGTAGTGAGGTGGAAAATGTGAATAAATTTAAACTGAAAGTGCCTAAATGGAAGAGTGCGTATGTGAGCAGGAATGAACCCATTTCACACTTGATGTCAGAGCATAAGTAAGGTACAGTAAAAGTAGAATGAGAATTATACCATCGAAAGTAATCTCCAATGCCTAGATTACCAAGAATCCTCGTCGACACAAAAGCTCTGCCACTAAAACTTGAAGGGGTGAAAAAATTAAGGGTGAGTGGGCCTAAAAGTAAAGCTTTGCAAAAACATTTTCAAAAACATAATAACCCCTCACCGTAAAACAAGTATAGTTTCCAAAATATACGTATGTATAGTATGAATATACTTATTGTAGCCTACAATATCTCAAGAATTCAATATGCCTTAACATTTCGTAAATAAACATCTAACGTTTGGTAATCACATAATCTCGCATAAACAAACATATCATAACAAGTGCTCATCAACATATGCTGACACACAAGTTCATGCAAAGATATTCTGACATGAGCAAGAATGAGTGTAATAACGATTTATGCTGTAATACTAAAATCACGTGAAGACTAGTGCTATACACATCACATATGAGTCCTAATTGCCTATAGCAATCTAGGACAGGACTGACACCTACAATGGATCCAAAGTGAGCATGTGGTGTGATATGAACATACACGTGAAGCTTGGCCCTTGATCGAGCGAGTACAAACACCAGTATAGCACACGATGAGCATATAACGTGAATATGGTCATGCCACAAAAATACAATAGTTCTAGTCATTATAGTACTATTCATGGTCATAAATATAATTAAGTGAACCCTTTATAGTATGCATACCTATGTGCCCCGTTTGACGTAAAATCATTTCATAAATTTTGTTGATGCACTAATTCTTATAGACGTTAATCTAATCTAGTGTAACGTAGAAATTTTTTTATTAAATACATAAATGGAAACTAAATAAATGTATTATATTTAAAAGCAAAGACCCACTCATAGATACTTGCGAAGTCGAAGCCGTTCAAGCGAGGGAAGCTGGAGTCTCCGATAGTAATCACACCTAAGCATAATATTGGGAACTGTTAGTAAAACTCAACTAAAATGATTAAATTTGGAAAAAAAAAAATGGAGTGCGCATTTGAAATCAGGGCGTCAAAATACGCTAAGAAGGGTCCTTGAAAATTTTTGTGAAAAGTCAATGGTCAACCAAAAAATCAACTGAGGCGCCAACCTGGTTAACTACGTTAAATCTTTGGAATTTCACTTAATGGATGTCAAAAAGAGGGCTGGGGTGTCAAAATTAGCCTAGGAGGGTTTTCGAGAAAATTTCGAAAAAGTCAACGCTAGGAATTTCCAGAGAATATTCCAGGAATATATTCCAAGATTTCGAATCCATTTGAAAATGGACTGAACTAATATGTTGATTTTGTGTTATAGAAGAGAGCCAAGGCCAACAAGATCAATCGATTGAAGAAGATACCTTTTCACCGGTCGGGTTCCAAATTCCGCGAGATCGACATGTTTAAAGACGATTATGTTCGACCTGGGGATGAGACAACTGTCACATCCCGGCCCGGGGTGGATCACTTCCCGGGCCCGCTCCACCACCGTAGCACAATATTGTCCGCTTTGGGCTTACCATTCCCTCACGGTTTTGTTTTTTGGGAACTCACGAGCAACTTCCCAGTGGGTCACCCATCATGGGATTACTCTAGCCCCCTTCTCGCTTAACTTCGGAGTTCCCATGGAACCCGAAGCCAGTGAGCTCCCAAAAGGCCTCGTGCTAGGTAGAGATGGGAATATACATATAAGGATCACTCCCTTAGGCGATGTGGGATGCCACACAACTGAGCAGCTACATGTAAGTATATTTAATTCTTATTATTCTTAAACTTGTAATTAGCATAAAAGTTAATTAAATTTTAATTAATTATTAATATGCTTTTTCTTATTATTACAAGCGACGATGCTAGAGAAGGGCAAGGTTGTTCTCTAGGAGGTGGCATTGCAACTTTCCCTAAAGACCCCATTGGAGGAAGTGACTCTGACCAAGGATGCAGGGTTTCATATACTAATTGAGACCCTGGTTCATACACTTAGTCGGAGGCTTGGTAAGGTTTGTTGGGGGATAAGGAATGCCCGACTTTGGCTCATTGATGCCTCATCTTCCAAAAAAGTCACGAGCCAAGTCACCACTTTAACACAAGAAGTGGCAGACCTGAAGTAGAAGTTTGCAGCCCAGGATGTTTACATTGCGGCCCAGGAGAAAACGATGGCGGCCTATGTGGGTAAGAAGTCTCATATCTTGCAGACTATGTAGTTGTGCAACATAAGTCTCCCACCAACTTCTCCTCCATCATCGAGCTCCCAACCCTTCACCTGAAAGAGACCTGGCATACCAATGCCGACACAGTAGACTTCACGGAACGTTTTGCGTAGCTTTTTTTTCCCAGATATTTTAAATTTTTCTCACTTGTGTGTACATTTACATGTATAGTATAAATAAATAGTTTATTTATTAATTATTGTTTATAATTTAATTAAATAATTGCAAACAAATTAAATATATTTAATTTAATAAAAGATGAAAAATAAAATAAAATAAAAAATAAACAAAATAATCTTTGGGCGAGGAAGCCCTTCATCGCGTAATATTAGAAGCAAGAAAGGTATTCGTCGCACAGATTCGTAAACGACGAAAATTTCATAATTAAATAATAAATTACTTGAATTTTGTTGCAAAAAGGTTTACTTGATGAAGATGATTTTGTACCATTGTTATCTGCGTGACGACAAGCTTCATTCCCTATATTTTATGCGATGAAGCAAAGCTTCGTTGTGCAAGAACCCTTGCGCGAGGAACAACATTTCATTCAACATACAAACACTTTTTTCACAAGATTTGCACGACGACAACTTTGCAACCAAGCTTTCGTTGTGTTAATCATTAAAAGACGGAACATGTCTTTGCACGACGAACTTTGCTTCGTCACAAGAAGTGTTAAATGTAGTAGTGAAAGGCCTTATGTTCTTTATCAAGCCGAGATCTCTCCATTTGCAACAACTTTCAATTCTATCTCTCTCCACAAAATCCCCCACTGCAAAATCAGCTCCAAAATCCCTCCTTAGCTCTCACACTTGCTATCTCTTTCGACAATCTCTCCAACTCTAAACTCCCACAAAGGAATGATATTATTTCTCAATCATTTCGAAGTTGTGAGTCCTATGTTTGAATTTATGATTACATTGTGTGCTTGTTGTGAAGCCAAAAATAATCACAAGGCAACACGTGGATTTCTGGACATGAGAAGACAAAAATACCCTTGAGGTACAACGTGTTTCCTACGAGCGAGCAGTGGGTAATCATCCTTCAACCAAGTCAAAAATGCCCAAGAAACGTAACAATTCAAAATCCATCTCATCAAATCCCTCTTACAAGGTAGTTCCCAAAACCTATCTCGTTCCATATATTTTTTTTACCTCTTTTTCGCCTTTTTAGCTAAGCTATCATTCCATAACTTACAAAATATTCCACATAAATTACATAACCTCCCAAAAAGATTCCTTTTATCATGTTAATTAGCCAATTAATATATTTATTCCTAATCAATATATTAATTCCTAATTAAATCACCAAATAACACCCAAAAAACACATAAAGGGCCGGCCACTCTTTCTCCAAAGAGGACCGGCCATGCCCTATAAATATGACCCACTTTTCTCTAAAAACCTAGGTTGATACTCTTGCAAAATTCCAAAAACACTCTAAACACTTTTCTCTCTAAATTCTAACTTTGGCATCGGAGGTCCTTTGGCCAAAGCCCCCCCATTCATCGTAGGCGCGTGAGGCTCTTGGCCTTGACCCTAAGGTGTTAATTGTTTTGTAGGTGCAATTTTGTCCAAGAAGAAGGAGGAAGAAATTTGCATACACAAATCCTCGACTTCTGTCGAGCCAAATTTCAAGCCCCGAGGCTTCCAAAAAAATTATGAAGACAAGGAAATTAAATTTTTCTTAACTAGAAGCAATGAGAGGATGAAGCAAGCAACGAAAGACAATCCTTTGCACGGGCAAGATATAGAAGATTACTAGAGGAGGGGGAACAAATATTATCTAAGCTCTCTCTCTCTCTCTCTCTTGTAGGGTAAAGTAAATTGCTCTCCAAAATTACTAAATAAATGTATTATATTTAAAAGCAAAGACCCACTCATAGATACTTGCGAAGTCGAAGCCGTTCAAGCGAGGGAAGCTGGAGTCTCCGATAGTAATCACACCTAAGCATAATATTGGGACTTGTTAGTAAAACTCAACTAAAATGATTAAATTTGGAAAAAAAAAATGGAGTGCGCATTTGAAATCAGGGCGAATTTAGAGAGAAAACTATTTAGAGAGGTTTTGTAATTTTGCAAGAGTATCAACCTAGGTTTTTAGAGAAAAGTGGGTCATATTTATAGGGCATGGCCGGTCCTCTTTGGAGAAAGAGTGGCTGGCCCTTTATGTGTTTTTTGGGTGTTATTTGGTGATTTAATTAGCAATTAATATATTGATTAGGAATAAATATATTAATTGGCTAATTAACATGATAAAAGGAATGTTTTTGAGAGGTTATGTAATTTATGTGGAATATTTTGTAAGTTATGGAATGATAGCTTAGCTAAAAAGAGGAAAAAGAGGTAAAAAAATATATGGAATGAGATAGGTTTCAGGAACTACCTTGTAAGAGGGATTTGATGAGATGGATTTTGAATTGTTACCTTTCTTGGGCATTTTTGACTTGGTTGAAGGATGATTGTCTGCTGCTCGCGCATAGGAAACCTTTTGTACCTCAGGGGTATTTTTGTCCTCTCCTATCCAGAAATCCACGTGTTGCCTTGTGATTATTTTTGGCTCCACAAATGCCCCCACACCTGTTGGGCTGTTCGCGGAAAAGGCAACAGGTGTAGAGATTTTCTTGCCTTAGGAAACTTTGAATTGTTTCCTATTTTGATCGACTTCTGTCGAGCCAAATTTCAAGCCCCGAGGCTTCCAAAAAAATTATGAAGACAAGGAAATTAAATTTTTCTTAACTAGAAGCAATGAGAGGATGAAGCAAGCAACGAAAGACAATCCTTTGCACGGGCAAGATATAGAAGATTGCTAGAGGAGGGGGAACAAATATTATCTAAGCTCTCTCTCTCTCTCTCTCTCTTGTAGGGTAAAGTAAATTGCTCTCCAAAGTTGATTTAATAGGCTTTGAGAGAAATTTATTTCCTTTTCCTAGAAGGATCTAATTTCCTATTAAAAGAGAGAATCATCATCAAAATAGGAAACAATTCAAAGTTTCCTAAGGCAAGAAAATCTCCACACCTGTTGCCTTTTCCGCGAACAGCCCAACAGGTGTAGGGGCATTTGTGGAGCCAAAAATAATCACAAGGCAACACGTGGATTTTTGGATAGGAGAGGACAAAAATACCCTTGAGGTGCAATAGGTTTCCTACGCGCGAGCAGCAGACAATCATCCTTCAACCAAGTCAAAAATGCCCAAGCAAGGTAACAATTCAAAATCCATCTCATCAAATCCCTCTTACAAGGTAGTTCCTGAAACCTATCTCATTCCATATATTTTTTTTACCACTTTTTCCCCTTTTTAGCTAAGCTATCATTCCATAACTTACAAAATATTCCACATAAATTACATAACCTCTCAAAAACATTCCTTTTATCATGTTAATTAGCCAATTAATATATTTATTCCTAATCAATATATTAATTGCTAATTAAATCACTAAATAACACCCAAAAAACACATAAAGGGCCAGCCACTCTTTCTCCAAAGAGGACCAGCCATGCCCTATAAATATGACCCACTTTTCTCTAAAAACCTAGGTTGATACTCTTGCAAAATTACAAAACCTCTCTAAATAGTTTTCTCTCTAAATTCTAACTTTGGCATCAGAGGTTCTTCGGCCAAAGCCCCCCCTCCCCAAATTCATCGTGAGCGCGTGAGGCTCTTGGCCTTGAACCTAAGGTGTTAATTGTTTTGTAAGTACAATTTTGTCCAAGAAGATGGAGGAAGAAATTTGCATCCACGCTTGTGATTTATATTGTGAATGTATGATATATATTGTGCATTTGTGATTTGTAGGTTATAATTTTTACGAAAATTTGGGTTGGAAAAAATTGGGGAGATTGGTGAAGGACGAGTTTAGGAGGGTGGGGGATGATTTGAGGGGTTGAAGAAAGGGGGTACGCGTTGGGGAAGGGGCGGCGTGGAGGTGCGGGTATGAGGGACGTGTTGAGAAGAGGGACAGGTTATGGGGTAGGGGGAGAGGGAACGTGTTGAGGAGGAAGACTGGTTAGGGGGGTACGTTTAGGACGGGTAGGGTGGGAATGATGGGTTTGGGGGAGGTGAGAAGGACTAGTACAAACTTTTAGAAAATATTAACTATAATTTTTAGATATATTATAAATTAGTAGGATAAATTTTTTATATATAATTTTTTTTGAAGTAATATAATAAATTCTGGAAATATTATAAATTTGTATGAAATATTAAAACTATTTTAAAAAGCTTAGAAATTTCAGAAATTGTTTACAATTTTTTCTTCAGATGCCTAGAACGCGCAATAGGCACCGCACATAAGGGATGACGGAACCCTCATAAGAGATGACGGAAGAATGAGGGTTGAACACAACTCAGAACATAGGCGTGCGGGATTCCGGCATGGAATATTGAACCAATCGATAGGAGCCCTCATTTGGAATAAGCGCCCCATGCAACATCAATCGTTGGGTTAAGGGTTTATCTTTTATTTTATTTTTTTGTTAATAAAGCTTGCCCGACGAATTGTTCGTGGGGCAAATTAGGGTTTTATTTTAAAAAAACACAAAAATTTAAATTTGGCAAGGAAAATATTTCGTCAGCCAAACATTTGTCGTTGGGTCTCTTTGGTCAATGTGGGCTTGCCTGACGAATGTTTGTCGGAGAAGGTGTTGTTGCTTGATGGATATTAATTTTCGTTGGGTAAAATGTCCAACGATTTGTTTTGCATGACGACCTTTGCCAACGGATTTCCATTGCCCAAAATCTTAGGCGATAAACTCCTACTTTAGGAGACAAATGTTTATGCCTAGCAGAAGTGTTTGTTTGTTTGTTTTTTTTTTTTTTTTTTTTTTTTAAGGAATACACTACGTTAGGAGGATAAATTTTATTGACCAATATGTCACTATGGTTGTGACCTTATTTCATATATGTTGTTCTCATCATTTAAATACTGTCATTAGAAAATGCATGCATGGTTGTGCAAGAAAACATTTGAAGTGCACCAATTATTGTTTTCGATCTAATTGTAATATTTTTCGAATTACTCCATGCGTTACCTATTTTAAGCTCCAAAACCTTCCAGATACTTCCCAATGACCAAGCTTAACCTCTTTTCAGATTCTTCCAATACATACATACATACATACATACATACATACATACATATATATATATATATATATATCTAATGCCTGACAGTATGCCGGCATTATTTTTTCAAAAGTCTTGGGATGTGGTGGGTGATGAGGTGAGTAATCTGTGCCTAGATGTTTTGAATGGTAATAGTGATGTTGCAAGTCTTAATACTACATTGATTGCGTTGATTCCTAAAGTGGCGGCTCCCACGAGAGTAATTGAGTTTCGACCAATCAGTTTATGTAATGTTCTGTATAAGATCATTTCCAAAGCAGGGTTGAAATGGCTTTTGCCGTATGTTATATCTGAATTTCAGAGTGCTTTTATTCCTCAACATTTGATTCATGATAATGTTTTGGCGGCTTTTGAATCGATACATTGTTTGAAAGTCCGGGGGAAGAAAGGGAGAAAGAAGGTTATTTTGAAGTTGGATATGGCCAAGGCATACGATCGGGTTGAGTGGGGTATCTTGAAGAAAATGATGATTAAGATGGATTTTTCGATGGTTTTCATTAACTTGGTTGTGAAGTGTGTAACTTCGGTGGGCTTTTCAATTCTCATGCAGGGGTACTGTTTTGCGAATTTCTCTTCGACTCGTGGTTTACGTCAAGGTGATCCTATTTCCCCATATTTATTCATGACTGTAGGTGAAGGATTATCGGCTTTATTACAACATTAAAAAATTAAACGATAAACTATCGACTTTTCATTCATAATTTTGTACAAACAACATTACAACTTGAAGCCATCTGCGCCGAAACCACCCACAGAAAATGGTTGACAGAAGAGTTGCAAAAGAGCAGACCCACTGCAACAAATAGTTTTGCTTTGAAACGTGGTAATGGAATCTTTGATTGTCTTCGATACACACTATGTTGTTGAATGTTCAGTATCTATCTCCTCTATGCATTTTTTTTTAATTTACCTTAAAATTCAAGAATTATTTGTCAAAAGAATATTTGTACGGTCATAGATTGTGCATATATCTGTTGCCACTTCATAGGGCGAGAACAGGTATGAGGAATAAAATTATTCTTCTTAGCATCACATGCCTGTCGTTAATTATCAATTAGTATATGATTAGTTATTGAAAATTAATAATTAGGCTCTTCATGTGGATTCCATAAACAAAGGATTGTTCTTTTTGCTTAATTATCATTAAACAATGATAAAATGAAACAACCTCAAATGCTTTTTAAGTACTACTCTTGGAAGTTTGTTGAATTACCTTGTATAAAATTGAAGCAAATCGTCTCATTATTAACAAGTGTTACCATGCATTTGTGTGTCATAACCCTAGACCCTAAACTCAAAGTTCGAAACCCTAATGCTCTACTCCATAAAACATAAAACATTTCATCTATTCATATTATAATACGTAATTAATAATAACATCATGACTCTTAATCTCGAAAATTTCTCATGCATTACATAAATAGGGAGTTGAGTTTTGAATACACCTACTTTAAAACAAGTAGCTGGAAGAGCTTGAAAAGGATTTGGAAACAACCAACCCAACCATGATTCTTCAAGCAGAAAACTCCATCAGCTAACTTATACCATCCAATCAAGTGGCACTACTACTACACTAATAGGGACCAAGTAAAAGGAAAATATAATTACTAGATTGACAAGTGAATCCTTGGGACCATGCACGCATGATCCCATCAGCTGTAGAAGCAGCTTATATATAAAATAGAAACATCAATGACAGGCAGAAAACAATGGTAACGAGGAGGGATTTGTATCTCATCCGGATCCTCACATTATATCTGTAACATTCCACATCGTCTAGGGAGTGGATCCTGTAAGCTTTATATGTATATTCTCATCCCTACGCAGCACAAAGCCTTTTGGGAGCTCACTAGGTTCGGGTTCCATGAGAACTCTGAAGTTAAGCAAGTAGCGCCCGAGAACACTCCCATGATGGATGATCCATTGAGAAGTTCTCGTGTGAGTTCCCAGAAACAAAACCGTGAGGGAGTAATGGAGACCCAAAGCGTACAATATTGTGCTATGGTGGTGGAGCGGGCCTAGGATGTGGTAGATCCCGGGCCGGGATGTGTCACTATCCGTTCATCATACATGATATGGTCAAAAATCATTTATTTAAAATTAAACACAAATAGTACCTAATGATTTTTGACCATATGATGTACGATAAATGAATAGGATGTGAGAATCCCTAAGAACCTCACAAAGAGGATCCGGAGAGGATCCTCGTCTGTGGAGGACCATGACTCCATGAGCCTTCAGTTCATATACACATGTATGCTCACGGACAAAGACAAAGAAACACTGAAAGGAATACACTCACATCACATGGCACACCATGCAAACTTGAGAAAATCAGAGTTACCTATGCTTTTATTTAATTCACCTGTGCCCTACAAAAAACCAACCACAAAACCAAAGAAAATGAAGTTTTCCATTTTCTTTTACCACAGTAAAAAAAATTACCAAATTGGCGAGCTCAAGCTCCCAAGAGAGGCATTACAAACCGTAATAAGACTAAGAGAGAACACTAAAATACATTTATTTGCTCTACACACATTACTAGTGTTTTGCAACATTCCAACGAGGCAAAGACCATGTTATATATACAAATGCAGCTCCTACTTTCTTGGGATTTTGGCCTCCTATTGGCATTGGGAAGATTTCAGTACCTCAGGGTTCGAGAAGCTTGCTTGCTCAGCAAATAACGCAAGAATTTGGATTCTCTTCCATGCTTTGCACATGGTAATATGTAGTCATGTGGGGGTTGTACGCTTTGTACGCCTTGACGAGCTCTAAGACGGGGTCTGGCTCTTTCTTCTTCTCTTCTTCTTTCTTTGGCTCCTCCTTCTTCGCTTCTTCTTTCTTCGGTTCTTCTTTCTTGGCCTCCTCCTTCTTCGCCTCTTCTTCTTTCTTTTCTTCTTCTTTCTTCGGTTCATCTTTCTTGGGTTCTTCCTTCTTTGGTTCCTCTTTCTTAGGCTCTACTGCTGGTCCTACTGAGATTATATGTGTTTGCCAGTATTTGCGCAACTTGCTCACTACAGTCACTGGGTCCACGCTTCCGATCAGTGTTAATTTCTTATCCTTCATGTCCATGGCAATAGAATCGATGCCTACAAATTGCAGAGTCAAAACAATTAATTGAGAATTTCAATTATTCAACTCTGTTTTCATCTCTACTATCTCAAGAAGAATTGATCCATATGAACCCTATATTTTGTGGTAACATACGATCAACTTGCTGACAGAGCAAACTAGCAACTCTAAACCATGCAGAAACCATACACAGATTGTTTTCCAAAATAAACCCATTCATTACTAATATATTTCTTTTATACAGAACTCCGAAGGCAACATGGATAACCAACTCCGACAACAAACGGCAAGCTTCTTCATCATCAATGCTTGAATTTATGCTCGACATGCTCATGCATTCATTACTTGTAAATTTTTAGTACACATTTCACCCTTCAAATTGAAAAACAAAAAAAAAGAGACAAACATTAATCCAATTCATTACGTATATTCCTAATCAAAGGAGCTTTTACCCTTTTGTTCCAAACGAGGTTTTTGTTCTCGTAGAGTTCATCTTAGGACATTAACCCAATTTATTACGTATATTACTTGTAAGACTTCTAGTACATTTCAACCCCTTGAAATTGAATCACAAATTATAGTGCATACGTCTGCAAACTACACCGCTAGCTAGCTGTCATCTTCTCCGAAATTATTCAAATAAAGAGCCTTGTTTGAAGAATTTTATCTGTTTCTCTTTCTTTCATCATCTTTCTGTTTGTTTTTTCAACCAATTAAGTTGTCATATATGAACAATAACAAAAAAGATAACTTATTTGTTTTTTATACAAAATCGTGCATTCCCATCTCTTGTTTCTTTAGGAAACTAAAGTGGAGGAATCTTCCAACCACTACTTTCCATCCAAACAATTACAGATGACATTAATAAGGTAAAGATTTAAGTATATTTCTACCAATTATTAATTAACATCATGAATTTGGTCCAAATTAAGAAGCTTGATTCAATCTAGTAAAATAATGATATCTTTGTACCAGAAAGAGTAGAGACTGTCTTGAGAGCCTTCTGCTTGGCTTTGTCATCAGGCAAATCCAACTTCAGTACAAACTTCTGCAACAACAAAACACAAACACCAAGTGATCTGATTAGAATCACACAAACACCTTCCAAATCTGAAGAATTCTTTCATGGAAACTCCAAAACTACAATAACCAAAAGCAGAATTTTTGACCCTTTCAAGATCGAGACTTGTGTGCTTAATTAGGAACCATCTGACTAATTAAGCTTCTAAAACTGATAAGATTTTAATCAAAACCCATCAACAATCATGCCTAAAGCTCCTTAAAAACAAAAGGGAAAAAAGATTGAGGAGAAAAAAAACCCAAAAAAGTTATCAGAAGAATCAAAACCCAAGGGGGAAATCTTGACTGCAAAAGTAATGAATATTCAGAAAATTCAAAAGTGGGGAGGGTTTCAGATTCCAGACCTTCATTTCTAATTGCCTTCTTTTTCCAGAGAGAAGCAGAGCAAAAAGAAACCTGAAAACTGAGATTGTGAGAAGGAAAGCTGTGAAAGAAAAATGGGAAAACAGAGATAGGGGTGTTGAAAAAAAGAGAGGTCAAGACGAAATCGAATAATGCTTTGTTGAAAAGGCGAGCGAGAGAGAGAGAGAGAGAGAGAGAGATGAAAAAGAGAGGAGGGGGTTTGGTTTGGGCACACCAGAAAATTTCCGTATCAAAACAAGCAATGCAGAATAGGAAAGAGAGGGTGGAAACTGAGATGGAGAGAAAAGCTAGAGAGAGAAAGCTCGTGCAAGAACGTGTTCAAGAATTATGCGCGACCAGTGAAACTAATTTGATAATGAAGGATACGAGGAAGAAATACTTACGTGTAAGTTGTGAAGTATTTCAGAGAGAAAGAAGTACTTATGTGGTAAGTTGTGAAATACTTCAGAGAGAAAGAAATACTTATGGTGTTTTATGTGGTTTATCACTAAATCAATATACTTGAGTTCAGCTATCATAGTCAATATCCATGGCCCTTTCGGAACTTGAAACTGCAAATCACGCGCGAACTGTTGGCGCGTCAATTTACTCTCTGACCTATAAAGCCCACCTTCCTGAAATGACTTCTCCCAAATTTGGAGCCTCAAAAAATACCCTCTCTGTGATAATGCTTTTCAAATCAGGTGCTTCTGTTTTTTTATGTATTTACTGTTATTGACAGCAATTTAAAATTTTATTTATTTTTGTTGTTTTACCAAATATATTTCATGTTTCAGATTTTTTAATAAGTTTTATTTATTATTTATTATTTTTTTTTTTTTGAAGTTTTACAATCTCACACTAGCTTGATTTTTACAGCTGAGGCTTCTACCCATTTAGTAAAGTAGTTAGTTGCCATCATTACGAAGGTGTGTGTAACTTGTGGTGGATTTTAATGAGTATTTCACAAAAAACTACATCGGTTTTATCCCAAGTGTTGTTGTTCTTTAATGTCATTACGCACGTAATTCGATAAGTCTTCGAAACATTGAAGCTTTCTTTTATGTGACTCTTGTATTCTCTAGGCAACATTAAAAGTTAATGCTAATTTTAAAATTTTATATATGAAAAATGATAACAATACATTATTTTATTTTTATTTTTTATTTTTATACATTCTTGTTTAATCTTATTTATAGTTTATGTTTAATTAATTCAATCTAAATACCAAAAATAAATAAGGGTGTGGAGGACAAGAAAAATGATGTGTAATTATCATTTCTCTCTTTTATTTGTACATGAACATTTGATCTAGCAACACTCAATTTTCATTGCATCGAAAGAAGTCTTATTTTTAGCTATGACACTTATACTCTTCATCAAATTTCACTTTAGTCTTTATACTTTATACTGACTCACTTTACCACATGCTCTCAATGTCACATGTCACACAACCAATGTAGTTGAAAAGACTAAATTGTCCATGCCACTTAAATACAATTAACGACTCTCTTAACTTATTTGATGAAACAGGGTAAAGTAGGACATTGAGGAAGAGTGCAAGTGTTAAAGTGAGATTAAAAATAAGCCTGGAAAGAAATCCTAGGTTCAAATTTCATCTACAACAATTGTTAATAAAAAAATAAGGGTAATGCTAACCGCACGCTCATTTTTACTTCTCACACGACCTCTCAATTTTTGACTGTCAGATGAATGAATTGAAGATGATCAATGGCAAAAAAATTAATAAGAATGTGTGAAGGATAAAAATGAGTATGTGAACAACACTATCCAACAACATTTTGCATGAGCTTCCATTTCGTATGAGACAACCTAAATTAAAACTCAAGATAATTCTCTTTTTTTTTATTCTATTTCTTTGAGTTATTGGGCATTATTGAGTATATGTTAGAGCATGCTCTTGAAGAATTTTTTAGTGTTTATCAAGAGTTAAAGGTTTTTTTAATACATCACTTAGTATTATGATATAGTGTTATTCTTCTTCACTCGTAAGTGAGAGGTTTTAGGTTCGATTCTCGTTAAAGATGCAATTGAACCACATTGCTAGCTCATTGTGAGGCTTAGTCTACCCCCTTTCCTGCTTAGTGTAGATAATATTATTTGTTATAAAAAAAAAAGTTTTTTTTAATACAATAATATATTTATATTGAGTCTTTTAATAAGAGTTTGAGGGAGCATGATACTTATATATAGGCATCAGGCAGTTGAAGTTTGATACTTATAACACTTATTACTACTGTTTGGGCCCAAAATATTGGTGTGGGCCGAGTTAGGAGTTGTTCTCTCGGCCCGGCAGTATGCTTTTAGAATTATTACGAATTCTAGTAGGCCGTTCAGTTAAGATTAGCCAAGTCCTAGTATGAGATGGATTGATGGAAAGTCAAATCCTAGCATAACAAGGAGTCTCAATGGGATGAGGATGCTGAGATTTGAGAAATGAATGTGGCCGGATAAAGAGTTTGGTTCAAAGTCCTAATGGAGTAAGGATTGGGCGAGAATTGGTTGGATTAGGATAAAGAATCCTAATCTGAGTTGTTTTATGATTGGACTCACAAGTAAGTTTTAGAGTTCGGCATTCTGATGGCCGAACCACATTCACTATCAAGACATATATTTCTTTCGAGTATTTGTGTCCATATAGTTTGGTGTCGATTCAGCGTGCTTATACTCTTATGAATATAATCGCTGTGATCGAACCCGGCGCCGACGATCCGTAAACTTCACAGAACTAGCAGCTTTGTCTTTAGGCTCGAGAACCCGAAGGTCAAGACGTGTTCATTCCTTGGTCGCAATAGAAAAGGTCAAGAAGTTAGCAGTGCTCTCAACGCAACATCAACTCATTTTACTCCCTGGCTGAGCTTGGCTGATGAGTTGGCACGCCCCGCACACAACCGAAGGATGTAGTTAACTTATTAATTACTTGGCCTGTGCGCCACGTAAACTTATTAGTTTTTAGGGTCAACATTTTGGCACATCCAGTGGGACCCTTGTGCTAAAACTATGAAGTTCATGCCTGTTGAAACACGGTCAGTAAAGAAGAAAATAGCCATGGGAAAATCGATCGCAAACCTTACCACCCAGAACCCAGGGCCAGAAGGCTTGTCACAGGCACAGATTACTGCTGCCGTGACACCCGAGACATTGAGCGCGACACGTCGAGAAAGGAAAGTTTGTCTCTGTGAGCCACTTTGTGATACAGGAATCTTCACTAAAATGACGAAAGGGGTTTTGGTCGAAGGAATAGTGGAAGATTGTGACGAAGACGGTGGTGATGCTTCGGACCCACCAACTAGATCATTTTTTCGACGACGACTTGATGAGCAAACTCGGCAGTTTGAGCAGTGGTTCAGCTGAGAAATAAACATACTAACAGAAATATGAGACACTCTAGTTAATAAGGGCCATAACAATGGACCCACCGATCGATCCCAGCAACTTCCACCTAAGGGTAATCCAATGTCAACATTAAAGTCCGAAATAGGATTTGCTCGTTTCAAATTGATCGATTTGGAGAAAAGAGGAAGATCAAACAGTAGGGAGAAAAAATGAGGATCAAATAGTAGATCAGACGGATCTGATCAGAGAGAAGAAACAACATCCATCGATGTGATCGAGTTTCAAAGAATGATTGATTCGGTCTTAACAAAGGGGCCGAAGTTCCCAAAGTTCATCCATCCGTACCTAGCTTATGTGGAGAAGTTGAATATCCTAAAGGTTTCAAAATCCTAGACTTTAGCCTTTTTACTGGCGAATCATCCCTGTCTTCGTTAGAACATGTGGCTTGGTTCACTGCATAATGTAGAGATGTTAATAGCGACTTCTATGAACTACGATTATTCAACTTCTCACTAACTGGTTCAACATTTGCTTGGTACATCAACCTCCCGCCCAATACCATCCAAATTGGACGGAACTGATCGAAAAATTCCATGAACAATTCTACCGGCCGGGAATGGAAATGTTGGTTTCATCACTGGCTAGGATGGCTCAAACATCTGAATAGTCGCCAATGGAATACTTAACGAAGTTCAAGTCAGCTAGAAGTTGGTGCCGAGTACCTCTCCCTGAAGTTGAATTTGTCAAAATCGCCTTGAATAACCTGGATGTGGAATATAAAAAGAAATTCTTAGGAGCAAACTTCCGAGATATATATGAACTGGCCCAACACGTCGAGCAATATGATTATTTGCTCCGAGAAGAAATGATCTCGAAGTCTCCATCTCGAGGAACGATTTACAAGTATCCCACGGTTAGCTACGCATCGGTCGAATGCAAGGATTCCTAATACGCCAGTATGGACGCGGTCGAGATAGTGATAGATAAACCGTACGTGTGCAAAGCTTTGGCTCAAATTAATTCCAAGGAAAACCCGCTCGGCCTCTGAAGAGACAATGAAAACATCAAAAGTTTACACCTTTGATATTACCAAGGCCAATGCAATTTTTGACCAGTTGTTACTGGCAAAGATCATCAAACTTCTGCCAGGGCATAACATTCCAAAAGCCGAAGAGCTAAAAAGCAAAAGGTATTGTAAGTACCACAACTCTAATAAGCATACCACAAACAACTGCGTCGTATTCCGTGATGCTATTCAAAGTTGGATTTATAAAGGTAAGCTAAAATTTCTTGAAAAACAAATGACTGTCGACACTGATCCCTTCCCTTCAGCGACAGTTGGCATGGTAGATGCTTATTTGTCCAAGAGCAAAGGGAAGGGGAAAGCCGAGTTCGCTCCAATACAACATGTCCCAAAGCAGAATTCTTGGCCGTGACTCAAGCTTGATCTATTTTCAAACGAACCACCTACAGAATCGTCGGGACCTGGCCGTAGTCGAATCTATGTCCAACTCTAGTGCAGAAGAAACTAATGGACCAATGGTTTTGTGTGGCAATTGTAAAACATGCGTCGTCCTAACCAAGCCAAAGGAGAAACCAACTCAGGTTCCAACATCACGGCAACCATTTACTGTTGCGGCAACACCTTCAAAGCTACTCAGTGTAAGCCAGCGCCAGAACGTGTTTAATAGGCTCGGCCCTCAAATACGAACGGATGGCCCAACTTCAGCCAGACGACGTCTTAGTTTCGACGCACCGTTTTATAATGACGATTATTACTAGCATAACTTTAGCGGCTCA